TTCTTCGATCTCACATATCTTATATGACTTCCATTATTGGATTATCTTCACAAGCGCAAACCGAACGTTTGAGCATTGTTGCGTTCATTCATGCAGCATCTAATCAGTTTTCAAACAACTGAAGAATTACTCATCAAAGCACCTGAACAATTTATCCTCAAGCAAGCAGTCTAATTGCAGATTCTCGGCCATCTTCGTTGATTTCTGGAGGTCATCCATCCACATCGTTAACACATCGGTTGCCATCAATCCTGACCCCGTCCACTTCCGGATGCACAATAACCTGCAAGGCATGTCATAAACCGACGTTCTTTGTCGATGAACAAGCCATTATCAACATGCCCGTTAACGTTGCACTCAAAAACCTCATTAACAGGTATTTCAGTTGTTTTTGCAAAATATTTTCCACTAATCGCAACACTATTATTGCTGATACCATAAGTTTTGTCAGCATTCCTATCAAAATTTCCCTCAAACAATCAGCTTACAGATGTCACTAAAACTTTTCTTAGGCAGTTATTTATGAGCGATTTCGCACTTCTTAATAGCAGTAATTGTAAAAATTGCTGATTCCGCTGCACTCAAGTGCCCATAGTCGGTAATCAATTATCTATAAATTCCAAACAAGCACGCGACAACTGTTTACTTATTCCGTGAATTCCATTCAGGAAGTTTTAACTTCAAGTTATTCCACAAATTTCTCGAATGTTAGTTTTGAATAAATCACACTTCTAGTGAATTCGATTAATCAGTTAGTAATTCTTTCAAGACGATAAATCGTTTGCTGAGTTTAATATGTAATCGATAATGAAGAAAGTTTGATCAAGTAGACAAGAGGATGAATGGCGTAAGTGTTGTAAGAAGAAGATGTAATCGAGAGATATTTTGATATAAATCAGAAATGTTTTAATTGAAGATATCGATGTAATAGTACACCAACGAATAAAGACAAACACAACCTCGAGCAACATCCTACCTGTCAGGTATGCTCATTGAATCGATTAATTTTTTGAGCCTCCAACGCAAATTTTTAAAAATCGGTGTCCCATCTTCCTAAGGTGCAACAATTGCTAAAATTTTGCACATTCTCGAGTATGCTCAACTAATCAAGCTTATGACGTCTATGACGCATGGATTTAAAATATCCAAGCAGAGAAGGCCTTTGTGCCCAACGAATCAGCCGGAAACTTCGGTATCTTATGGAATGAGTGTGATCGATTGCTTGTGCTCACTTTCAGAAGACAGTTTCTGATTGAACGCTCTGATGAATTTCAGTTGTGTGATAGTGATGAACCGGCTGAGGCATCCGTATTCTGTGAGCAATGTGACATCTACTATTGTCAGCCGTGTCAATCATCGTTACATCCAGCCCGAGGGCCACTCGCCACTCATAAACTAGTACATCCTTCGGCCAGGTAATCTCTCATACAAACCAAACAACCGTTCAAAAAAACTCTTGCACTTCACTGATCACAGCAGTTGGTAATATGTTGCGATCATTTCGAGCAGAAAAAAAAAAGCTGAACATCTGCTAGTTTTTCATTGTTGGACAAGTGTTTCTTAACGAGGACTATATAAGGTTCTTTCTAATAATCATATACACAATCAGCTAGGGAATGCAATGTTAGCCGAATAAGTTTGTTTGCATCGAATTAACTCTTGGATCGTAGATTTTGACCATGAAAGAGCTGAACGAACGCTTTCAGGCGTCCGCCACGTTGTCCCGCATCGGTGACTGCGATTAAGGAATCGAAATGCCTCAGTCACCCAACCGAACTGCTCTCGATGTATTGTGTCGTCTGTCGGATGGCCATATGTGGTGTTTGCTTACAAGAGATTCGACACACAAACCATGATGTTCAGAGCCTTGAGAAAACGTGCAAAACACAGAAAGTGAGTTTTTTGATTGAAGATGACCATTATGCCCATCGCATGCTCGAATGTTTGCTAAATGCACACAATATTCAGTCGATACGATGGCAATACCGGGAAAACATTAGGTGACTTGTGATCTCTGATGTATCACTTCCTTCATGAAGTAAATTGTTGCTCATTTTGATTGTATGAGCTGAACGTCCTCTAATCAGATGTTTTTTCATCATTTTTTCAAGCCATACGAAAATAAAAGTGGTTATTTTGCTATCCTTAAATATTCTGAGCAGTATTCAGGAAAAGATCCGTTGTTGTTTTCGAAAACCTCTCTCTCATTGGACAGTTCTTTGCGGGAAGCATTTCGATTCACTTCACTTTCTTAAGCAGTATGTGATGAACTAAGCGTTCTGAGGCATTCAATACTGCAGCTGTATTTCATAGAGCAGTGAATGCAGCAACCCAAAATGGGTGCTGATATCTCGAGTCTTACCTATACAGCTGTTTGCTGTCGCCGCATCGACATTTCCTTCTAATCCCCAATAGAATGCACTCATTACTACGAACACTTCTGTCAGCTGTCTGCAAAACTAGGGCAGTATTCTGCATCGTTTGAAAGTGTCGTTGAAGCCAAAAGCCTACATCCATGCCGTTATTCACGTTCCATCCTATTGATTCAATAAAAACCATAGCAACAGAGGAGGAACGAAAATTTTCCAGCGATATGATCATTGATTTATTTTTCCAACGTCTCATTTTTCATTCATCTTCTTATGATGGACAACTTTATAATTTGATCATTGCTTTGGAAAAAAACGCATAACAGCCCCCATAAGCTACATTGCGAGATATGCTTCTGTTATTTCCACTACATATACATTGCGGTTGCCTTAAAATTATTTCCGCCTTCTCGTGTCAGAAACTGACCTGTAATATCTCGACTTGTTGGTTACTAATTTTTTTACAAATGCCTCTCATCCACTACAGCTGATGAGTCAGATGCGTCAAGTTACCGCATATGTTGCTTATCCGACAATATCGCATTAACATTTCATTGAATACATTATGCCCACAAACCCAATAACAATTAACAGCTAATTTATGCATCACAATATAGCAAAACTTTAGATGCATCCTCGTCGCCACACTTGTTGATCTCATATCCTCTCACGAGAGATCAACTTAGCACGAACTGATACTTGCTTGTTTACTGATAAAGTTTATCACTGACAATTGTTGATATGCAAGTGAAGCAATCAGCAGCCACTTAAAAACGCATAAAAACGCCTTGTACCTATGACGAATAGCCGCAATCAAATGTGGTCATTTCGATTTGTTGTCGTATAAGTTTCGTTTGAATGAGTGCTGATCACGTTCACATATCCTCCATTCATGCTCGCTCACTTTTGAGTACTCAATTGTAATGAGGCATTTCCTGAGTGCGCGGTACGTTCTTTGTAACGTGAAGAAGTTATTAATACGAAATCTCTGAAAGCAGCGATTAGCTCACAGTCGAACAATGCCGGTGACATTGAACTTGCATTCGCAATTCACTTGTTAGCACATAATCTAATGTAATTTTTCACTCTCTGTACGGTTGATGGAACATATTCGCCATACTCTGATTGTAAATAATCGCCTTTATCAATTCAAGTGACGTCGTTCGTTTCCTGTTTATCGAGCGAGTCACACATCCGAAAATACGTCTAGAAACAAACATAATAAATCACTCGTCACAATGCAAAACAGCCCCTATTCCTCTTGAGTCCTTTGCATTTCGTTCTGTTCACACTGCTTCCGTTGATGGCATTCCTGATGGCATTTTAAAAATTCTGAGCCATTTTCATCACAGTAACCTTCCATAACGGGTCGGTATTTTTGTTCAGCAAATTTTGATGACAATTTTTCAGTTCACATTGGAAATTCCTGTCTCTCTTCAGAGATTCAATCGAAAAAATATTGAAAAATGCTTTTTTTACCAGATCGGGAATCTAAAATTCATTCTGAATTATGAAATTGAACTTTCTGCAACAACGCAAGGGATGTTGATCGTTAGTTGTGTTTTACTGGTCAGATGGATTGATTCAGTGATGCGTAACACGATCGCACAAACACATAACAATGCATTCATAAATTCATCAATTGCAACCAATTCACATCGTTAATAGAGTCGCAATAATGTGATGCTTTATGACCTACTTATTAGGAATTTACCTAGAGCACGAGACAACACTCCTTACAAATGATATGTGTACATTTAGTAAAGTCACTGGAATTGTTTCCTTACTTGGTTTCGAGTAAACAGTACGATAGACAATCAATGTCCTTTTGGTACATTGATAATGTGTCTATCAGATGGCATAATTAAGTGCGCACACTTAAGTCTGCCCTTTTCTTGAATTGTTCCTTATACAAAAGAGTGTTAGCACAGTAAATAGGACAACACAACCCAAACTGAGATTCATTCCAACAAAAAAGGCAATTAGCAAACAAATGGTGAGCATAATGTGGGAGTGTAAGGCGAGGGCATCCAAAAACCATTTATGAGACCATTAAGTGCTTAATTATATGAAACGGAATTCACTTAGATTAATTGTCGAGTTAAGATTTTTTAGAACTCAATGATATCAACAGTAGAACTTTGTACATCAAAAAGTTCATTTCATAGAAAATTACTGGCTGAAGGACTTTTGAGAATTTCGGATTGCTGAAGATTTACCATAAGTTCATGCTCTGATCACCAGCATGATAGGAATGCTGACTGGAAATGCCGGCAGAAAATTCTAAGTTCTCCCAACGGCACCTACTTTTTGAGTCTTTATAAATTTGAGGGATACTTTTGAGGGATGTTTCAGCTGCAAATTCGAGCGTTTTCGTTTGCTTCATTTTGGTGAAATCTGAGGAATATCATAAAATAATTTGCCCAAACCATTACATAGGATGGGATTTTATGGGTTATAGTTCGTAGTACAATGGTACATTAATGAAACTTTCACTTTTCAGTTATCAAAATGTTTGCAGCGAACATTCTTAAGACATTTTCACACTAGAGTGATGGTGTAATCGAGATCGTTGTATTGTTGTTAAGAAAAGTGATGTTGTGCGATGACGAGTGAACATGACACTAATGAATGAGTTATCAGCATAAGAGATGTAGAGATTAACTCGTAAACAACAACTTTTGCTGTCGTTTGCTCATTTTCAGTAATTTTGCTATTAATTGCAGAATGGAGGGGGTGGGGTGGGGTGGGGGGCTGGAGTTAGATTTGGAGGAAACCTTCAAGTTTGCAAAAATGAACCATGATTAACCACATAAAACGTCAAAAAGCATTGTTTTTTCCGGAATTTTTTAGGATTTTCCTCAACTGAGGAAGGAATTTTTTTGACGTTTTTTCGAAATCTTGATCCGAAAATTTCCGTTCGGAAAATCTTCTTTAACTTTGTAGCATTCAAAATTTGAAACTGCAATATGGGATTTAACCATCAGCTTGTAAAGGTAGGCGTTAGGAATGATCGATAAGATTATGAACAATTGAAACACCCTATTCGTTCTGTACTACCTTCTCCTGATTGACAGCTCGATGTTTCCCTGTCAGAATTCATTTAAGTAATATTTTTCAGAGTTCAAACCTGATATTAACTCTCAGTTTGCTTCAGAGAGAAATCTATAGTTGTAACACATATTTAATGGTGCTTTTCGGTAACAGGAAGAAGTGTTCTTGAGTTCCTTTTACGCAAATCAAGTTGTTTTGTTGTCAACGACCAAATGTGATGTTTGTGAGTGAAAACGAGGAATATGTTTTTAAGCGCCATAACAATGCATATTCATGAGTGTAAACTGAAAACAAACGGCCCGACTTGTCTGTTCTGCACGAAACACTTTACATAGGAACAAAATAAACAAAGCCTACGCTAATCTATAATAAATTATGTAAGAGTAATGATAACAAATATTCAGCGGTCACCTAAAAGTAACAATTGTTACGTTACTGAGAAAACTGTTGTTATAATCTGGATTAAGGGAAACCAGACCGAGCTCGATAATCTCAAAATAAACAGAGAACTTTTTTTGGTGATAAACATCATCTGTTGAGAGTTTGATGAGAAACCATCTAGAGTTCCTTCCATAAAATTATTTCAATCATTCCAAGAGATCAAAATTGAGTGTGAATAACTTCGCATAATTACATTTATACGATTCATTTATTTCGTCTCGCTCCTAATTTGGATGCAATTCCTCGCGTAAAACTAATGTGTTAGTGTAGCACATTGTAATTTAACAACATGCCAGCACATAGAGAATTCAATTTGTAATCAGCACTAATCAATTAATTTCACTCATGGAAGTCCGCTCCGAGTGGAAGTCAAGCTAGAGTTCCGGTTCAATCTTTGGCGTTGATTAAAGAATCATCCATTCGTCTTTGCATGCTTACATATCATTCTTTCACTTACTATACTGCCTAATTATGAGGGAGTGTGCTTTTGCTTCTTCACGCAAATATGGCCTGATGTTATTGAATCGCACACTCAAATAGATCCTAGCTGAGCTCAGTATTCGTACACTGACATCATGCATCATGATATTCACAATGTTGTCAACTATGCAAAGAAGAAGGAACCGTACAATTCAACTATAGAAAAGTTTCAGCTTTGCAGTAGGAACCATGAGGCAGCTGAAGATGAGAGATTTTCCGTTTTGAATTCGGATTACATTTTTCGACTTATTGACTCCATCGTCATGAACATTTGAAATAGTTTCTGCGTCAGAACTCACTCGTTCGATTGAAATTAAATTCGACGAATATTCAGAAATCAATCACAAATGGTTCAGAACAATACTCGTGAATGAGTTGATACTTTGTATTACTTTAGTGATTGTATCACAACATTTTGCCATTCGTTAACGATCGTTCATAAATGCGAAGATATCAATCATCGCTAACAATGGCCACCATCAGATATTGCATTAGATATTTATGGTTGAGGACGACCATGTCTGTCCAAGTGCTAAAATAACGCTGTTGACCTCTGTGCTGTGGTAACAGACAAAACGAATTACGTTTTATGTCCATCAACTCATCCATCCGTTCATTCATTATGTACGTAATCTAAATTTGTCATTCCCCAGTTGCGTAATCCACGCAATCAAACTTATTTTTATGCTTTGCAGTGCCCATAAAATAAGTTTATAGTTATTGCTTTAATGCATTTGCATGATGAGGACACAAATTTAGAGCAACTAAAAGCTTTTTTCATGGAAACGACTATATCATTTTAGTTCTATCATCATTTGCAGATATTCTGTAGAATGAGGAACTAGGAACAAATTAGCAGATGTTCCATACTAACGATTTGTTTATCATAACGAGCAACTTCCTTAAATAGCATGTAAATTTATGCAGTCATTCATTCAATTCAAATGTTACATTTCTGCACAAAAAAATCATTTTAGGTATTGTTCTGTTTTTTTCGTTGAAAAACATCTGTAAAACATTTCGTCTACACTGCTCACAAACAGGAAGAGCAACATATAAAT